ACAGGTGAGGACAGGTGACAGTGGCCGGGTGTTACCTGGTCTGTATTGATCGCCAGGTAGGATTTGATAGTTGGAGTGTTGGTGAGGGAGTGTTGGTGAGGGAGTGTTGGTGAGGGAGTGGTGGTGAGGGAGTGTTGGTGAGGGAGTGTTGGTGAGGGAGTGTTGGTGAGGGAGTGTTGGTGAGAGAGTGTTGGTGAGGGAGTGGTGGTGAGGGAGTGAGTGTTAGGAAAGGAATGTTGGTGAGAAACATACGTACATATACGCACAAACATGCGAGTATAAACACACACGCACACACACACACGGCTTTGATACTACCTTTGACTTCCATTCCTGTTGGGGAGCCTTTGGCCAAGGCCCTCCAATCTGGCCCTTCAATCTGGCCCTCCAGCAGACAGTAATCAGTTCACGAGTGTAGTGTTACATGTCACTACTGAACATTGAAGCTTATCACTATATTAATCAGTGTTATAATTATCAGTAGAGTAATTACACCAAATCATTAGGAACTTAATTAAACAACGATGCTCATTACGATAATAATTAGTGTATTAAATAACATAATCATTAGAAATATTAGTTAGGGAGGAGCTAATATCTTCGGTAGTTAGTGGTGTAATTATGACTTAATTAACGAGAGATAATTATCATAGAAGTTATAATTCATAAATGACAACAATGATGATTTTAATCCTTCAATAATTCCTGAACATTTAACTGAGCCAGAGAGTGAACAGCTTAGTTCAAGAAACAGTTTGACCTGACGTAACTTGGATTGGTGATTGTGAAGTATTTTACAATCTTTTAACTTGGATTGGTGATTGTAGATTTGATTACACTCCTTTTCACGTTCATTTTACAGATAGTTTGTATTTTTTACGGGAAGCAGAGATTCGTTTGCTGTTTCCTCTTCAACATATAATATTATCTGGCAACACTGAGCCCCATAACCTTAGTATTAACCTCTTGAAACTACAACGTTGATCCATTAGAGACTTAATTGTGTCCTAAATATTTATTCTCAACATTATCCTAAAAATGCAACATTGCAACATTAATTCATAGCGTAAAGTATATTATCCTTATTGGTTATCAGTAATGGTGTCTTTAGATGCAACATTAATTTATAGATAAATGGCCTGACCTTAATGGCCTGACCTAAACTCTCTTTAGAAGGTAACATTATATACCCTTATTGGTTATCAGTAACAGTGTCTCGAGGATACAACATTGCAACATTAATTCAGTTTTAATAAGCGTCATCCTAATAGTTCAACATTAAAACCTTTTGATAACCCAACACTGCAGTATTAATTTACATTGTTTATATTGTTCACTTAATGTTTATCAATATTAATGTCAATAATTCAACATTGCATCAATAATTAACAGCATTAATATTATTAAGTTGTGGGTTTAGCAGAACAGAAGTGACACGTATATTGTGTGAGGAAACATTCCCAGCTGACAGTGTCTCATTATTACCATGCACCATCACCATCATCATCACCATCACTGTCACCATCATCAGGAAATACTTAATTGAGTCTCCATGAAACTGGGGCGGGGCGGGGCGGGGCGGGGCGGGGCGGGTCCTACCTGAACGGCCGAATGGGATTAAAAGCAATATCCATGTGCTTCTAGCCGTGAGCCGCACTGTCCACACTTTACCTCCCCACGACACAGCCAAGTTAGGGTAAGTTTGGGAAATTGAAGGCAAGTTAAGTTTAGTTACAGCAAGTTTGTTTGTTTCAGTTGTGGGAGAGTCAGGGTGTTCAGGGGCCAATCAGAATGCATTAGGTCCACATGCGTCATGATGGCCTGGAACCAATCGTTAAATATCATGGTAAGGTCAGGTCAGGGGTTAAGGTAAGGTAGGGTCAGGGGTTAAGGTAAGGTAGGGTCAGAGGTTAAGGTAAGGTAGGGTCAAGGGTTAAGGTAAGGTCAGGTCAGGGGTTAAGGTAAGGTAGGGTCAGGGGTTAAGGTAAGGTAGGGTCAGGGGTTAAGGTAAGGTAGGGTCAGGGGTTAAGGTAAGGTAGGGTCAGGGGTTAAGATAAGGTAGGGTCAGGGGTTAAGGTAAGGTAGGGTCAGGGGTTAAGGTTAGTCTCATTTTTGTCTTAGACCTAAAACTCAACTAAGTGCCCCTCTTGCCTCTCAAGAGTACGTCCTGTGTTCCATCCGGGTCAAATGTATGACCTTCCCGGGCTACCTCCTGCACTAACACTGAACAGCCCCATCAATAACAATGGAGGGAATTTAACAAACCACCGTCATCCATCTCCCGTCTCAGTCGTAAATAAAACCAATTTAAAATCAAAACAATGTGTACATGAATTCCTAAATCAACTTAGACTCCGAAGAAGGTCTATATTTCAACTCTACTCACATGTTACTCGACAAAACGTGTCTGTTTACCTAAGTGTCATTACCTATAATCTGCATTTACTTCTCATTAACCTGACAAGACAAACGGTGTTTTGTATTTAGTAAACTGGTGTAA